AACAATATTAAAGAGCTTCTAAATTAAAAGCTTAGGATAACTAATAATTACTCTTAATTAAAAATTAGATTCAATTTGTTTAATTAATGAGCAATTCTCCATTGCAAAGTCAGCGTTGCTTAAAATTTGATATTGACTTTGCTTAGCCATTGACTTATCATATATTTGGTAAGTATTTTATAAATAAAAAAATGATTGGTAAATTAATAGCATTGTGATCTTATGAAATATGTTGATAGTATTTTGACTTTAGCTGGTATTTATACTAGGATAGAACAACGAAATCGGCAAACCATAAAATCAAATCGAAAACGCTTTTTCAAGTCGTTGATTTGGGTCCACGCCATTTTTTTCTTCTACTAATAATTTTCTCGAGTTTTGGCTCAAAATTTAGGTTAGTTTACCCTTTTTTTTTTTTTTAACATTTTTTGTAATTTTTTGTTATATTTTTATTGATAGATGTGTTGTTTGTTCTATTTTATGTTGGGCTCCCTTAGATTTTTAACTAAATAATATTTTTTGTTTATTTGAGTCTCAATTTCTTGATCACGTCACTCAATTACCTGATCATGTCACTCAATTTACTATTTATTTTTTAATTTAGTTCCTAGAATCTACTATTAATCACTAGAATGGTTTGGTGGATTACATAAATGATTGTTGCGAATATTTGACCAACTAACCTTTCGACATATTACTTCGGTGAAAATTGAATGCAAAGAAGTACAAATTTGTCTCCCAAATTGCTGAAAACCTATTAGTTATTCAAATTTCCACAGTTGCTTTTGAGTCTACAGTTCAAATAGTAGTCGAATTATTGATTCTATGTGTTCGTTGCATGCAAAAATGGTCGATGCGGTGATATGCACTAAGAGTTAGTTACAAAGTAACAAGGAACTTACAATAATTTGTCAATATTTGAATGAGATAGAAATATTGACTAATTTAGAGAAAGTTATAAAAGATATTATCGTATTTGATCTTTCTATTCATTTTCTTTTATTAGTTGTTTTATATCATTTCATTATAATGAATAAATACATTTTTTTAATATTATTATCTGTATGTAGATAATGAATCATATGTTACCATTAACAATCTAATCAATGCTACGCTCTCTGATATCACTTGTTAACCATCTAACTTGGATGGTACGTGCGCTAATATCACTTGTTAAAAATTGAGTCAATTTAAAGACTAGATAATGGATAAGATGAAAATAACAATAATTACAAGAACACAAGACTTGCGTGAAAAATCATGAGATGGGATGGAAAATTTACTATATCAAAAATAAGGAGTTACAATATGTTAGACTTGATCTCACAAAACTCTCTCCTGGATATCACTATTTCAGAGTCTCTCTCTATAAACAAGATCATCTCTTTTATTATCTTCTCACTCTCGCAACAAATATGTGTAATACACCGTATATTATAATATAACAATCCCTAACATATTATGATAATTAATACATGAAGAATTTAATGTAAGATGAAGTCTCAATATAATGGGTAAACCCAATAATTGAATATTTGAAGTTGAATAGGAGTCCAAAAAACTGTCAAAATTGCAAAACCCTAATTTCTCCTAATAACATTACCACTTAAGCGAAAAAGCTGATGCCCAGAAAGTGACCAGTGCTCAAGTGAGAATCCTCGCAGCTAGCGAACGGTGGAGGCAACATTCAGGTGATGCAGGCTTAGAGCTCAAGCGCTCCATCTCGGGACAAAAAACTCTATAATGCTCCGAATGGCACCTATAAGCCTAGATCTCGATGATTGGGTGTCATATCTCTGCCCTAACAAATTCTTTGTCCAATTTCTTGTTTCCTTTGACTCCTTGTAGTTTTCTATTTCTTCAAGACTTCTCCAAAACAAACAACCAACTCCACATATACCTCCAAAAGTATTTCCAATCAAATACTTAACATGAATTTGGATCACAAAGAAACTCTAACAAATTCCACCTTGATACGAATTTCAATGGAACGAATAAAATTTAAATCTTCAACTAACTCCAAAAAATTCTCCAAATAGAACACTCCAAAAAAACACACTCCACCTCTTTCATAAAGCCCCTAAGGGCAAACTTAACAACCGTGAATTAAATCTTAGCATTGTTTACCAGCAGAATTACTTTGGGCACCAAATTTGCCCCGAATCACTACAAACAACAAAATCATCAAATTCACAACCAACTTCAACGAAGTTACCAAATTTGCTTGAATTATTACCATATACAACCCCGATCACAACTAACTCCACATAAGTCAACGCATAAGCAACCAAATCAACCTCAACAAATCTCTAATTTGGTCTAATATCTATTTTCCTTAATTTAGTGACAGTTGCACCAACCGTGATTGTAGAACCTTACAAGACATATAACTGGGACCTTTTCTGCCCCTTCATCACAATTCGACACCCTTATCGAATTTCAGAACTCCACCTTCATCGGTATAACCCTTTTAAATAAAGAGTACTCAATGATATAATATTTCTTTTCAAATCTGAAACATGTCTCACATCATCAAATGTCTTGATATTCCCATCAAACATCTTAATTATGACTTTACCATACCAACTATATTACAAGGTGTATTATTTTCCATTACCGCAACACATTTCTCAATTGTTTCATATGTCATAAGCCAAATTCCGATTAGGGCACATATAATTACATCCATATCAAGAATCCAATACTCGCTAGGTTTGGAGTCGTCGTTAGAAATAACCAAGAGATCTCCATTACTACAGTTATGTCCTACAAAACTAGTTTCATAGGAATGACCTAGTTCTTTCTTCTGATCTGTAACAACAGATTTATCCCCGTTTTGCACTTATAGCAATAATTCTTTACGTGCCCCTTTTTTCTTGCAATAATAACATACTTTATCACTGCTATTAGATTTAAATCTGCCGCTTCCATGGCCACCCAAATTTCTCTCACAAACAACATGACCCTCTACTTGAGCCTCAGATCCGACGACTAGCTGTTTCATCTTCTCCTTAAAATAAAGCGCAACATAAAATTCATCAATGGTGAGTGTATCTTGACTATACAATATGGTACCCATGAATGTCATATATGAAGCGGACAACGAAATAATGAAATCAATCCTAAGTTCTCTTTATCGTACTGACCTCCATGATCTCCAAATCAACGACAATTTTCTTGAATACAAATAGATGATATTCCAAAGATCCACCTTCTGTCAAGCAATGAGGATATAAACGCTGATTCACATACTGTTTGTTGGTTAGACTTAGAGTCATGTATAACTACTCCAATATCAACCATAGTGCAGCGACACTTTTCTCATTCTAACACGTCTTGAAGAATTTGATTCGAAATATGAAGATATATCTGTGATAGGTTCTTTCGATCCTTAAATTGCTTATCCTCCAGTGTCAAAGTCGAGGGCATCTTATCCAACCCAAGCAGAGTATCATCCAAATCCAATTAGGCGAAAACTGCTTGCATCTTAATTTGTCAAAAATAAAATCTGGCGTTGCTATCTAAAATCAAAGTTTCAAACTTCATACTTGCCATCCCGAAACAATCAGACATCGTTTGGAGTTGATCAAATCTCGCTCTAATACGAAAACCAAATTGGCTCTGCCAAGAATTTTGATATTTGGCTCTGATACCACTTGTTAACAATCTAATCTGACTGATATGTGCTCTGATACCACTAGTTAACAATCTAACTCGGATGGTACACATGTTGATATGACTTGTTAGAAATTGAGCCAATTTAAAGACAAATGGATAAGATGAAAATAATAACAATCACAAAAACAAAAGGTTTACATGGAAAACCAGGGTAGAGCTATTTTAATCTCTACCAAACAAGCTCTATATCAAAAGTAAGGAATTACAAAACTCTTTCCTGGATATCACAAAACTCTTTCCTGGATATCTCTATATGTAAGTCTTTCTCTATAAACAAGATTCTCTCTTTTGTTATGTTCTCACTCTCTCAACAAATATATGTAATACACCACATATTCACAATGTAACAATTATTAACATACCAGGAAAATTAATAGGTGATGAGTTATCATATAAGATGAAGTCCAAATACAATACGTAAAATCAATAATTGAATATTTGAAGTTGAATAAGAGTCTAAAACCATCCAAATCGTGAAATCCGATTCTCCCGAATAAAACTACCGGTCAAATGGAAAAGCGAGCGTCAGAGCACGAGCAAGACTCCTCGCAACTAGCGAGTGATGGAGGCAGCGCTCTATCTATAGATAATAAACTCTATAATGCTCTGAATGGAGCCTGGATCCCCACGCTTGGGCGCCTAGTCTTCATCCTAACAATCATTGGTCCCATTTTTATCTTCTAGGACTCTTTGTAGTCTTTCATTGCTTCAAAACTTTTTCAAAACAAACAATCAACTCCAAATATACCTCCAAAAGTATTTTCAATCAAATATTTAATAAGAATTCTGATCACATCAAAACTCTAACAGTTATGAATGACGATGTTGTGCATATTGATATCGTCTAAAAGGTTAGACCTAGACTGTTTATATAATGTTGTTGCATTGCAATGACTTAAAATGTAGATCTTTGGTTTGTAATATTTGTATTGATACTAATATTTATGTTATAGCGTGAGATTTTAAATTAATATTTATAATTTAATTTGTTTAATATATGCTATTTCGTTTGCTAAATCCTTGTTTTACACTGAATTAAATCAAAAAAGCTGATTTTTTAGTTTGGAAAGACTTCAAATTGCTTTTAAGTGGTTTGTTCGTCCAAATCGAACCGTGTTCATCCAAATCGAACATGATTAGTTGTACTTTAAAATTTATTATTTTTAAAAAGAAAATTTGAAGTTTTGTAGCAATTCACTTGATCCAGATTCAAGATCCGAACGCAGCCCTATATATAGAAACGTAAATTCTGTCTGAAATTCTATCAACTACATATACTGTTTAACAAGTGTGATTCATAGTTCTCATCTAAATCAAACAAGATGGATTTTTCTGAGTTTTTCACCTGGCTGCAGCGATTTCGAGCCTCTTCAAATTCGTATCTAGCTCAATTCGAAGATTTTCCTGAGTTTTTCACCTGGCTGCAGCGAGTTCGAGCCGCTGCAAAGTCGTATCTAGCTCTATTCGAACCTCTGGCGCTTATTTTTCTTCCTATCCTAACACTTCTCGTCGCGCGGAGTATTCAGTCCATTCTTCGTGTTTTTTACGAGAAAGGATTCAAAGCTTCGATTTTAGGGTTCTTTTTTACCTTCGTCAAGTAATTACTCGTTTAACCTCTCAAGTTTTTATATTTTTCAAAAATTGGTGACTAATAATGTTTGAATTGTTCTTTACATTTTGAGATAGGTTGGTGCCTGGTGTGAAAAATTACATGGACCGCGAAAAGGAAAAGGTTAGTATACTTTCTACTCTATTTTATTAATTATTCAGTCTTGCGTTCCATTTAATGAGCTATTGCGCGTGTGCTTTTTTTGTTTAATTTGGTTGGGATTTGAAGTCAAAAATAGATTGTAGAAAGTCTTGGATGTGATAACAGGTGGAACAATCGTATTAATGGGATACTCTGAAGAAAGTGCAATTAATGCAATTTGCTTTATGATTTAAAATATGCGGCATTTTACATTTATGAGTTTCCGTTTTCTGGTCTTATTTTTCTAGTAAATTCCATTTTACATTTATATATGTTGTCCTGCAATAATGTCCTGAAGCAGTTTAATGTGTGTGTTTATTTACAAAGGATGCTTCTGTTCCGTGCTCATTAGTGTGGAGTATATTCGGCCTGTCTTCTTGAAGTTGTGGTCTTGCTTGTGAGCTAGTTTGATTTTGACTGAAATTAAAAATTGTGATATTGCGATAAATGTGTGACCTCATATAACGGTGATGAACCAGTAAGGAGATGCCAAATGTCAGATTGCAAGAATTATACTGACTGTAATATATCTTTCACGTCTTTGTCTTTCATTTTTGTTCAGTTTTCTGATTCCGAAATTCAAAATTAATAAATATCAGCTTCTTCGGCTGTTATGCTGATTTTCTGTGCGCATAGGTTGTGACTAAGTTGCAAGCTTCTGGTAAATCTAAAAGAGAGGGTTGGAGTACTGAGTTGCCCAGGGCTGGATTAGGAGGGATGATCATTGAGAAAATGAAAGATGAGAAACAAAAAGATGCGGCATGGCAGGGCAAATGTTCTGGTACAGTGTATGTTTTCAGTTAGGACACCGGAATCCACCCTTGTACTCGTATAAATTTCCTCATTCTGCCGAAGTTTCATCCTTCAATTTACTAAGTTAATATGTTCTGTGCAGCTACATTGGAGGAAACGAATATGAAGGACACTTTTCTTTGATAAATGAGGCATGCTCAATGTTAGTAAGATAAAACTGTCATTTTTATTTTTCAAACAATTTCAGTTGCTCTGTAATGATTAAGTTGATGATTGAGACTAGTGGAAAATTATATCTACATCTTATTCTAAACTATGTAATATACTCACTACCTTTATGTGTAACTGATTCGATCAAATGTTAAACTCTTAATTAATTAATTTGGAACCCTGCTAATGCATTATTTCTGACAATTGCTCTATTTTCAGTGCCCTCACAGATATTTTTCTTTATCATAACGTGACAACTTCAACATGCTTCACGTTCTGCATCTGTTTTCTTACTAGTATTATGATTTTTTTTCAGGTTTGCACACACCAATCCTCTGCATCTGGATGTATTCCAGAGTGTAGTGAAATTTGAAGCAGAAGTTGTTGCAATGACAGCTGCACTACTTGGGAGTAAGGAAAAGGCTTCTGGAGGACAAATTTGTGGAAATATGACATCAGGAGGAACCGAAAGTATAGTGTTGGCTGTAAAAGCCTCACGTGACTATATGAAAGCTAAGAAGGGGATCACTAGACCGGAAATGTATGTAAATTTGCCAGTTTTTTTTCTTATTTTATTCTAATCTCTATCATTACTCAACTAATTTATCTTCCCAAAACTAGGATAATACCAGCTTCCGCTCACTCAGCATATGACAAGGCTGCCCATTACTTTAACATTAAATTGTGGCGGGTTCCCGTAAACAAAGATTTTCGAGCTGATGTCAAAGCTATTAAACGGCATATCAACAGGAACACCATATTGGTAAGATCTTTTTATCTTTCTCTCTTTTCCTATGGCATTTGGTTTTTTTGAAGCAAATGCTGAATCGGAAGTGCTGGATTTCATTTGATGATGCATGGAATTTTCCATTGCAACGTCTATTTCCTTTAACTATTGTGCATCTCAATTCAAATGAACTTTCAGGTTTTAGCATTCTTGTCATTCTTTTGTCCTTTCATTTTTTAGTTATCATTTTAGGTTCCACTGATATATAGTAGAGAGAGTCCAAGGGCAAAGCAGGCCTTTTCCCCTTCACAAAAATATCTAGAGAATCACACCCTTAAAACAAAATAAATCTAGTACTCCCTTTTGAACATGTTCACCAAAATCACATTTATGTTTGTCTGTTGGCTAATATTAACTTAAAGACCATGTTTTACAGGTTGTTGGATCAGCACCTGGCTTCCCACATGGAATCATAGACCCAATTGAGGCATGTGACACTAACTTTCTATTTTTCCATTCTGGAGCCACTCATCTCTTTCTTTTCAAAATGTAATTATGAGAATTTCTCTTGTAGGAGCTTGGTGAATTAGCAGCTACATTAAGGATATGCTTTCATGTTGATCTTTGTCTTGGTGGCTTCGTATTGCCTTTCGCTCGGAAGCTTGGGTGAGTCTGACTCTAATTGTGTTGGCTGGTCTATGATTTCGTCTCTTAGATGTGCTTCTATGCTTCAAGATAATCTTGAGCAGAATTTATCTCATTTTCAGGCAATCCTTATAGCATTTCTTAATATATACGAATGCATGCTTTTGCTTTAAAGAATTATGCTTTATTGCTACCTTTTCATAAAGACAAAGATGTTCGTACCCAAGATCTTCATGCAGTGGTTATTGTTTCAGGGGGTAATTCTATTTGCGGTAACTTTACTTTTACTCAATATCATTTAGGTAACTGTACTTCAATTTTGTTCAATTGGGTAACTCTAATTTAATTTCAACTGGGTAACTCTGTTCAATTCCGTCACTTGGACTGATGGGAATCGATTGTAGCTATTGCACATTAATAACTAATGGTTATATGTGATGATCATCATTTATTGGTTGCCACATCATCAATTTTTGTCAGTAAAATTGGACGAAGTATTTTTCATTGAAATCAAATTAAAGTGGAGTTACCAATTGAATAAAATTGAAGGACAGTTACCTGATTGACACTAAGTGAAAGTATAGTTACTGCGAAAGGAATTTACCCTTTTAGGGTGGCTCATTTAAGTCATAAGTGATATATGATGCTATAAACTTAATATTGTGTATTGGTAGGCTTCTATCTTGTTGTCTCTGGAGGTACATCCTTTCTAATCCCAAGATTTTTCTGAAGTAATTACTCTTTAGTGCTAGAAAAGGCTATTAATACTTCTATGTCATCACTGCTAGCACTTGGTGGGTTCAGACAGGTATTTGTCTGCCCAAAATTATAGCATGCCATTTTAACAAACTGCAAGGCATGCCATTTTAACAAGTGCACATCTCTGTCTGGACAGCTTAGAATGTTGTTTAAAGTTCAGTTGACAAATGGCATTAATCTTTTTTTTGTGGTGGTGGTACAGTTAATACCTGTTTTATATGCTACCATCACTTTATGTGAAATTTTTTGTTGATGTTTTTTGTTTTGATTTTGCTATCAAGCAGGGCAGAAATCTTGTTGGTCTTGGTGTAAAATATCTGAAAAGCTTTGTCTCCACTCATCTTTCTTGTTCTCACCTTAGCTGAATTTGCTGCTGCTTTTTTTTTTTTTTAACTACTGATAACTAACTCTTGCCTCATAGGTATCCTGTACCCCCATTCGATTTCTCTGTTCAAGGAGTAACCTCAATATCTGTGGATGTACACAAATATGGGCTGGCCCCCAAAGGAACAAGTGTAGTTTTATACAGGGATCATGACATTCGGAAGGTAATTCATAAATTATTTTTTGTCTGTCTCTCACTCTACCCTCAAACTGGAACAAACAGCTTGACATGGACAAAAACATCCTATTTTGTTTATCCAACTTGAAAGCGAAACCTATTTTCTCATTTGCATCATATACTTAAGGGATTGACTATACTGTAGATTTATTTCTCCAGGTGAATGTAAAACTATTTTGTGCCTTCTATATTGGCCTTTCTGGTCTCTGAGTTGATTCCCAAATCACAGGCAGGTTGTGCAGATGGCATTAATAAGCAATACCACCACAAGTCTATGAATGATTTCTAATTCATCATATTCTCCATTTTTTTCTTTATATCTTCTCTGAAGTTCATTTTTAACTGTTAAACATCAGGGAAAAGTTAATTTTATGCGTGAGCTCAGTTTAAGAAAAGCTACTCTAGTAGCAGAACTATGGCATCTATTATGTTGGCACAAACATATATGTTGGAGAAGTAGGTAAACTGGGTCATAGCCATACAAAAGATATGAATGAAGCTTTATTTCATTATATAAATTACATTAGTCCACAAGTAGCCAAAAGAGGAAACAGTTACATGAGATCAAACTTGAAATTAACTTGTCCTGCTAGAATGAGAAATATTATTAATTGATTCAATTGCATTGTTATTGCTTCCTAGTTCTTTAAGGGCTTATCCTTTTCTATTTGGTTGTGGCACTGTTGATGGTGGGCTGATTCCTTGTGGTGCTGGATTACTTGCCTTTGGATTACTTATGAAAGCATCAATTTGTTGCTGGTGAGTTACTTTTCCCTGAAGAGTTTTTCTCTGCCTTTTACTTGAGTGCTATTTTATTGAGGTCAGGTGGGTAGCCGTTTCCCATTGATAGGAAATGGGCTTAAAAAAGCATGTGATTCATAGACATTTCTGTAGTTAATGTTATCATACTGTGACCACACTACGCCATCTTTTTTACTCTGCTGTTCTGCTTATCTCTATTCAGATTTTTACCGAATTCGAGCAGTCTTTTGATCTGATTTACTTGTGTTGATACTTCAGTAACGGAATGGACTGGTGGGCTTTATGTATCTCCAACCATTGCCGGCAGCAGGCCCGGAGGTCTGATTGCAGGTGCTTGGGCAGCAATGATGTCTCTTGGACTAGAAGGTGCCACTTTTTCTGACATTTGTTTTTATTTCCCTATTGCCAATTGGATCAAAATTTCTAGTCAAATATGTGGCTTATGAACTGATTTGTAGAAATTCAATGAACAGGATATCTGGAAAACACAAGGGAAATCATGGATGCCTCAAAGAGAATAGAAAAGGGGTATATATCATTCTCTTATTTAAAGTTTTCATGGTGTTCCGCTTTATAACTAAAGCATGCCATTCTTGCTTTTATGGTAGAGTACGTGAGATTCCTGAGTTATTCGTTGTCGGAAGGCCTGACATGACAATCGTGGCTTTTGGTTCTGATGTTGTAGACATATTTGAAGTCAATGATATTATGTCATCGAAAGGCTGGCATTTAAATGCATTGCAGAGACCTAACAGGTAACTGTGCTTATCTGAAAATTTGAGGAACTTGAGGTATGCCAATTAATTGAATACTGCTGGCAACTATTATAGTGAATGCCTTAATAAAAGTCAATCTAATAATGGCATCTGAATTTCTTTCTGTTATTAATTTGGTCTAATATTTTATAATCCATGGGCTATCTGACTATATTTTTTGGTGGTGGTTGGATTATCACTAATGATACTATGATAGAGTTTTCAAATATTTGGTATATTTACATTTATTTCTCTTTCGACCTTTTGTTTTTGGGATATAATTCTTCAATCCTGCTCCAACAGAAAGATTTGTTCTGAGATCTTTTTCCATTTATATTTCTTCACAGCATTCACATTTGCGTTACACTGCAACATGTACCTGTCATTGAGGGCTTTCTGAAGGATCTGAAAGATTCTGTGCAAACTGTAAGTGCATTAGTAATATGAACACTAATATTCTGAGTCCAGTTATTCATAATTTTTGAAGGATTGCCATGCATGTGAATTGCTACGGATGCTTTTACTTGTGCTATATGTGCATGGTAAGATGGATTGGACATTACTAGGCAGTTTAAGAAAAAAAGGGTTAAAATCTTAGTGTTTTAAAATGCGCCCTATCCTACGAGTAAATTCTGGGTTGAATGCCATGGAGTCTGTCCCTGGTCGGATTCAACCGAGTTATCCGTGCTTCACTTCCGAGCGGCTGCTTAACTGGTTTCGTCTCTTTATATTTGTTGGTTAAAAATTTGAAAAGTAGTTAACTTTATTGGCATTTTTTCCACCAGGTAAAAGCAAATCCAGGTCCTATCAGTGGAGGGCTCGCCCCAATATATGGTGCTGCAGGAAAAATACCTGATAGAGTTATGGTTGAAGATTTGTTGGTAGATTTCATGGATTCTTCATATTAGTGCCTCTATTGTTTCTTATTAATTTATGTTTTTTTCTATCATTTTTTTTTTGGTGAACGTTGGAAAGATATTTAATAATTAATACTTGGCACATTACAGTACTCAATATATTTATTTCAAATATTAGATTCCTCTAAAAAAAATTATTTCGAATATTATGCCATATTACGGATATACTGCTTAAAAATATTAGGTACAAACAATTACTGTAATAGTTCAGTGTGTCACACACGATATAACAATCCCAAAGAGGGGTTTTGCCTCTTTTATTTTACATTCATATCCACTCTGTAACCACTCAAAAGATAAAAACACACAAAGTCACACTGACGTTAAAAATCTTTAAAATGCAAGTATCTCTTAATATTTTTGCTATCAAGAAGTGAGAACCTCTCGACTTAATTACTTGATCCATCTTCTAGAGCTCCAACACCAAATCTACAATTAAGGGCAAAATAAGTTAGGCTATTCAATTACGTGAGGTTTTATGGAGAAAAGAATCACTTGATGCATCACATTCCGACTAGGCTGACATGTTCTTAGAACTTCACTATTTATTCATCATCCCGAGTTTTTGTTATTAATAATAAAAGGGTGTACAACGACTCGAATTCAAGTCAACAAAATCTATAAAAAGTAGGGAACTTTACCACCATCAAGTAGGAGAGACTAACAAGGTTCAATAATCTTCATTGTAACCAGTAACTGATGATGGGGCTATCTGGACTCTGGATTATAATTGACTGGTTTTATATATAAAAAAGAAAACAATGATTGGATATTCTATAATCAGGTCGAGGATTTTATGATGTAGGATTCTGTGAGATTAATGAATGTACATATACTTACAGTCTGCATCAGTTTTGACCCAGTGCTCCCCATTGCCACTGTCCTCACTGCTGATCATGAACTGATCAGATGGATAAGAATGGCTTTCTTTTGAGATGGACGGTTGAGGATATATTGTGATATATTCAGCAGTTGGCAATACATCTCCATTATCTGATGCCCCCACATTTGTTATATTGCTCTTCAGTATCTCATTTTTGTTGGGCTTATTGGACTCTTGTGCTACTCTTGACCTGGTCTCAGGATGAACTTTCCTGTGGAACATTTGTAGGATCTGCATTCCTCACGCTTTCAAATTAGAAATCTCAATAGATTCTTAAATTATTGGGAAACTTAATGGAGTAAATTCAGTCGAGTGCAGTGAACTGTTCAGTACGGAGTACTGGACGTGATTGAACAGTGTAATAAACTAGATTTTAGCTTTTTTTTTCATCTTCAATATGTTCTTGCAAACACGGATTTGTGCTTTGTTTCTTGTGATTTCTAAGTTGTCCTATAAAAAAAAATACCTTGTGCAGTTTTTTGTGATCAGCTGAGGCAGATTCAATTGCTTCACCAGAAGCTGCAGTGGTGTTCTTGGAGGAAGCATGCAGCATTCTTTTTTTAAGCTTCTTTTTCATGAGATGAACAGCAGATTTAGCAGTTTCTTTTTCTGTTTTCTTTTCCCCCTTTTCAGATTTTGCTCCAGAATTTTCCTCTGCAAATTTAGTCTTCTGAAAAAGTTCCCCAAGTGATGTTCTATGTTCTTTCTTTGCTGGCTGAGGCACCGTTTCTGGTAATCCAATCGCTGATCCAAAAAGATAATTTTGCAATGGACAGACAATTCCATCATTTCCATTTGTTTCTACACTTTCAATTTGCTTTCCACCAAGTGTAATGGTGCTACCATGACTGCTCCTTCCAGCACTTACATGACTGTTTCTGCCTGATGAGAAACTGTAGCTCTCATTTCTTCTGTGGGATCCCTGCAGTACTTTTTCCAACTCTTCATTGATTAGTTTCAGTTCAGTTTCTGTCACTTGAGTTTCTTTTTCTGCTATGTGATCCACAGAGCCAAAAAATGTTGGCGTTGAAATGTCGATTGGTTCTGTACCTGTTGAAAATATAGTTTAAGCATGGTATCAAAGCAGGTAGGTGTCCTTGGCCAATTTAAGAAAATGCACATGTTAAGCTTTCGATAAGAAATGAATCTGGTATGCACATAAGGTGGTGAAGACCTCTAACAGCTTAAACTTTTATACAAGGTGGTTTAACGATACCTAGTGTACCAATAGCAAGGAATCCATGGAAAAGTTCGGTAAGAGCAGCAGATGATTCTTCTTCAAGCTCCTCTACTTCCACTCTTGCTGCCTCTAAACTGGCAAATGAGTTTCTGAAACAGTTTTCTCTTTGTGCTTTGCTATTGGATGGTGGCTTCCCTGTAAGAGAAAGATGTAATAGATTTCCCTGAGAAAGATGTAATAACTAGAACGGTGTTCAGTGTGTGAATCAAATGGAGGAAGTTTTCCCTGAGCTGCCATGGACAGAAAGACTCGTTCTTTAGGAACTGAACCTCCCACCCTCACCCCAAATGAGAAGTAAACCTAAACCAGGTTTGCCTTGCCGGTCGCGTCTGAGGGCAGCCAGGTAAATAGACTCATTCTTCTAATGAGTAGCAAAAAAGGGGTTATAATTTTTAGAAACTGCCATCAAGGTAGCTCCCCCTATATGAGAAGTGAAGCAAACCTTCAGTGGGGATTGTAATGATGATGTCATTACAATTTCCACGTGTGCTCAAGCATGATAGGAAGTTTCCATTGAATTAATCTTGGCACTTATCCCATACCAAATTAACAGTGCCTCTCTCTTGTATTCAAGAATTGGCTATTTTATTTTTGGATTCAGGTAAATGTCCAATGTACATTCAATTCTTGTTCTATGATTTATCGTATATATCATCTCTTAGTCTATCTGATTTGAACTTAATACAAAACTCACCATTAGAAAAATCTTTTAGTACCGTTTCACCATTGTTCTGCCGGAATTCACGATGCAGCCAACCCAGTAGCTGCAAAGAATACGAATGATTAAGAAATTTAGCCTCGTTGAGTCGAATAATGAAAAGAAGATTTGCACACATTATTTTATACAAATTAATGAACTTTACCTTCATCTTTCCTTCTTCCTATCAGAGTGGCTATCTAGGAGAAAATATTATATACTGAAACTTTTAATAGTTATTTATTCAGGTGTTATATTACAGACAGTGCATGTTTTATTATCTTCTACTGTTGCAAGCCATTAAATTAAAGGTTGATATTACAGGGAGAGTTTAAAGAAAGAACATAGAGAAAGTAACAAATATGAGATAGCCTTTTTCTTGTGTTCTTTTCTGCTTGGAGGGTGAAGTCTTTTAATGATATGGTTGAGTTGAGAATGAATATATATTTTCTTGGCCTCTAAAGGCTAATGATTAATTATTGCATTCATTTGTGGGTTTTGTTAATCTATATTTGCTATTACATGCATGTTTTCACACATTTAGACTGGCAATTTGTGTCATCAAATGCATTTTTTCCAGCAGTTGTTCTGAATTAAGTATGAGAGTTCTTTGGGTTTGTCTTCAATGTATGTAGAAACCTCTCTTCACATTTCCTCTGGTTGTCATCGTACTGTTAGTTGCATGAATAAAGGTGTCAATTGGGCAGTGTTTAATTAGCTCATTTTTTACTATTCTGGTACACCTATAATTATCCATAGTGAGTAGGGATATAGGAAGGGACAGGACCACTCAATCCTTGAAAAATGAACAGATTATCTTATTCTTGTCGAAACCCGAGGAAGAAGTCTCGAATCGGGATTGAAAGGTGTGAATGTAGTAGATGCTTGAAAGACTATATGGAAATCAAAATATTTGATCCCTTTCATACCAATTTCGAAACAGGTTATGTCGAAACTACAATTATTGCTATTGGATTCTTTCCCCAGCTAGTCGTCCCTTTGTGAGAGGGATCAAGCTTGGTGACTTCTCATTTGTGGGGAACCAAACTATCACGCTCGTCGTGTAGGAGATTTTCGAGAGGCGGGGTAGGAATTAAAATAATTTCCATTTCTTGTATTTTTTTAATATATATTTTTTAGTTTTTAATGCGAATAAAAAGATTTAGGATAGGTTCGGAGAATTGGTGTGGGGGCCATGTTTCCTATCCCCATCACGTTTACCATTATTCAGGTGGGGGCTATGGGCGCGGGTCGGCTGGGGAATTATGCCGCCCTAGAATTAAGCACATCTTGGATGGATTGACCCATGTAAAAGGTATATTTATATCGACTATGAACATCTATAAAGCTTTTCACAGGTCGACTAGTGGGTCAGGCGGTGCTTGGAATGTACTTTTAATATGTCGTATCACTCGGGTGACCCAACATATTTTGACACTTCCATGGACTAAGAATATGTTAAGCTGCTAATGCTTCAAATATATTGTGACAAGGAGGGAGATCTTATGTTACATGGTACATGAAAACTTAGTACATACAACTCAGGTCCACTTCTTGGCAGGGTAATGGGGTGTACCTAATTTACTAGACAATCTAATTGTTATAACTGTAGAAATTAATTGATACTTCATTTGGGCTGAGGAATTTACATCAAGTTTTACATGCAATGTTGACATTTCCAATTATTATAAATTTGATGCAATTAATGGAAACCATAATTTATTTATTTATTTTTCAATTATTATCTTTTTTTATGTGTCATAAGATTTAATGCCCTTCTCCCTTTCTTGTCTCCTTTTCAATATTCTACACAACTAACTGGCATCATTATTTTAAAGCAAAATTCAATGTCAGTTATGTAACACACTTGTCGAATAGTTCGATGGATATTATCCTGAATCGAGTAAAGCAACTGGTTAATGAGATCTAACAACACCCTGACCCGGTACACCAAGCAGGGTTCATACGGAAATCAAAATATTTGATCCCTTTCATACCAATTTCGAAACGGGTTACGTCGAAACTACAATTATTGCTATTGGATTCTTTCCCCAGCTAGTCGGCCCTTTGTGAGAGGGATCAAGCTTGGTGACTTCTCATTTGTGGGGAACCAAACTATCACGCTCGTCGTGTAGGAGATTTTCGAGAGGCGGGGTATGAATTAAAATAAT